CCGGCAACTCATGGCAGCCCAGCTCCAGGTTGAGCTGTTGTTCAGCATCTTAGCTGTGGAGGGCAGTGTCACTGGCCCTCCTATGTGGGATCCGAACCGGGGCCCTCTGGCATCCCAAGTGAGTTCTTAACCATCGCGCCACTCGGCCGGCCCATGGGTTTTTTTTTTAATCCTCCTTTGGTTATGTTTTTTAAGCAGTGTGCAAATGGATTTTTAAAACTCCAACCGAATAATCTGTGTTTTTCAGAGAATAGTTTCATAGTTTAACGTGTTATTCTGTTGACTGATAGACCTGAGTTTGTTTCTACCATTTTGTTGTGGTTTTACATTTATTATGCTTTTTCTTTGCCAGTTGTTTTGGTCCTTGTCATCTCCTGACTTTACTTGGATTGACAAATCTCATCTGCCAGCTGGCGTGGCTAGTGCAGACTTTATTCCTAAGTCTTTTAGTGAGGTCTTTCCATCCTTCAGAAATCCCACGTGCTGTGCACTGTCCTTAGGTGAACTACTCTTCTTAAACTGACAGACATGGGTTCTGCTGGGTGCAATGTGGATACGACTGTGTGCAGTCCAAACAGGAAGACTGTGGGTCACAGGGAGGACCTGCGGGCCACTTGCCTGAACCTGGTGCTGGGCATCCTTCCTGTACTTTTGCCCAGGATGAAGCTGCCACTGGTAGCAGCCGTCCCCTCAGCTTTCTCCTTCCCTGCCCTGGCATCCGACCTCACCAACACAGAGCACTCTGTGTTCCCCAGTAGGACACTGTCCCTTTTCTGTGGCACTGGGGACTGCTGGGTGCACTGGCTTCTAAAGGGCCGTGAGAAAGCCTCAGGTGTGGACCGGCATCAGGAACCCCTCATAGTGTCCTGCCTAGAGAGGGCATCCTGCCCCCATCCCCAGGGTTGTCTTCGCTGCAAAGCCCTCTGAACTTGAAGAGTTCACAGGAGGAAACGGTTGAGCAATTGTGTCTATCTTTTCAGAGAACCAGCTCTGAGTTTCATTAATCTTCTCTCTTGTTTTTAAGTCTTTATTTCATTTATTTCTGCTCTGTGTCTGTTATTTTTTTTCTATCTACTCAGTTTGGGCTTTGTTCTTTTTCTAATTTCTTTAGGTGTGAGATTATTTATTTGAGATTTTTCTTGTTTGTTGAGGTAGGTAGCACTATAGATGTCCCTCGTTTGGAACTACCTTTGCTGTGTCCCATAGATTTTGCAACATTATGTTTCCATTTGCATTTGCCTCAGGATAGTTTTGATTTCCTCTCTGAGCCCTTCTTTCGCCTATTGGTCATTTAGTAGCACGTTGATCTGCCTCCACGCATTTCTGTTTTTACAGTTTTCTTCTTGTAATCGATTCCTAGTTTCATAGTGTCGTGGTTGGAAAAGATGCTTGATCTAATTTAAGTCTTCTCTAGTTTACTGAGACTTGTTTTTTAACTGTTACGTGGTGTATCCTGGAGAATGTCCCATGAGCACTGGAAAACTGTGCATTCTGCTGCTTTTGGATGGACTGTTGTGTACGTATCTATAGAGTACACATGATCTAATGTGTCCTTTCAGCCAATGTCTCCTTGTGGGCTTTCTGTCTGGTGATCCGTCCATTGATGAAAAGGGTGGTGTTAAAGCCCCTCCTACTATTGCAGTTTTGTCTGTTGGTTAGTTAACATTTGCTTTTGTATCTGGTCGGCTTGCCCTTCTCATGGCTGAGCCTGAAGCCCTGAGAGGCTTATAGTTACACAGGAGGCTTCCTCCCAGTTCACCCAGTTCCTTGGTCACAGCTAGCCTCCAGCCAAGCCCTGAGTCAGCGGGTGGGGATGTGGGTCCGTCTGTCCCACCTGGGGGCCACTGCACAGGGACAAAGAGTTGGGGGGTGATCCGATCTTCTCAAATGAGCAGTGAGGCATTACTTTCATGACATAGGAGACGTGGTATCCAGCAGAGCATGGCATTGTTGTCCCCTAATTCTCTACAGGAAATGAAATCACATGTGCACATTGGTTTCATCTTTCTGTTTGTGATTTTGGGTAGTCCTTTCCAGATGGGCTCTGCTTGGAGCCATCCTCCCCTTGCTCTTTAGAGAGGGTCACACAAGGTCACCACCCTGAGGCAGACAGTCCAGGGTCCCTCCGGAACTTCTCTTGGGCTGCCCTGAGGTGCCTGTAGTGGCCACCTGGACCGACTCCCTAAGCTGGTGGCTGCGTCCTCTGTCCTTTGTCAGCAACATGACCCACGAGGGGCAACCCTTTGGAACACAGATTTCATAAAGCGGTTTCACCACCACTGTGTGTTTCACCAATGTCAGCAATGTGAAGTTCACCTCCGTCAGATAGGTGCACCGGTCCTGGGGTGACTTCCTGGAGAACCCTACCTCCTAGGTGTCGACTCTGATGCCGGTTAAGTTAAAGATGTCAGCAGGTGTGGGGTGACTGTGCAGACAGCAGAGGGCAGAGCTCCTGGGCACAGACTCACCAACCTGGAATCAGAACTGTGTTCACGTTCTGGCTGCTTGCTCCCGCCTCGATTTCCTCATCTCTCAGTGGAAGGAATGACAGGCAGCCCTGGGGGCTCTTGGAGGGTTAGATAGGGTGGTATGTATGTGCAGAGCTGGCATAGGAGCTGATCCACTTTGAGGCTGATAGGTGCTGTTAGGAGGTCACTCTCCCAGGCTCTGCGTGAGGGTCACTGGGACTTCATCCTGTTTGAGACCCATGGCAGCCAGGGCAGCTAAGGAGGAGGACCAGCGGGTCACGTGGCTGGAAACACAGGGCACCAATGGGCTCAAACCAAGGTTTTGTGGGTTCCAGAGTTCATGCTGTGCTCCTTACTGTTGGGCGGCTGGAAAAGAGCTTTGGGATTTGCCAGTCAGGCCCAGTGTGGGCAGACCCCCTGGGCTTCCATGGTGTGACGTCATTGTCCTTTCCCTCTGCAGATCCCCGTGCTCCTGAGCCTTAGCCGAGACCCCGAGGTCAGCCTGCCTGCACCACCGCTCATGTATGCGCTGGCCCTCGGTGCCTGCCTGGGAGGTAAGGGGGCTGATGCGTGGAGCCATGGCCCGTGAGCGCATGATAGGGTGTCTGCAGGACTTAATGAGTGAGCATCCATCTTCAGCTTTGGATGAAGCGATTCTAATGCTACTCAGTTCCTCTGTGAAGCTTGTCACTTCCCGCTCTGCAGCCTGAGCCCACAGCCCAAGGATGGTCCTTCCTTATGTCTCAAAATTAGTGCACTTTTACTGTGCACCCACGTGCTGCTCTTGTTCACAAACAGGTTTCAAGTCAGAAGCCACCCTCAGTTGCAGTTTCTTTTCTCTCCTTGGAGGGTGGGGGTGGGAGTGGGATAGAATGATGGATGGCTGAACTAAGAAGTAGAGGTTTTAACCTAAGAGTAAGAAGAAGAAAGAGTTTTGGGGGAGGGTGTTGTGCTTTGGAGAAACTGAAAAGTGAATTGGAGAAAGTATTGGGAGAGACAGGTCTCCGTCTGTGACCAGCTGTGAATGGGCTGCATCCGTCCTCCTTACATTTAGGCCTTATCACCTTGGAGAATACAAGCAGATTGTGAAGAATCTTAGATAAACACACCAGATACGTTGTAAGTTTTTATTCTTACATCCAGGCATGCTTAGCTAATCCAGCTTCCTTTGTTCTTTGATTGATCTCTGACTATTAAATCAATAACCTTCAGTTTAGTTCATCTCCTTGTTTGTAAAGAGGGATTAATGTCATTCAGTGAAGTTGCTGTGATTTCTGGAGACAGAATTCACCTAATTCAGCAACCAAAGCCTCAGATTTTTTAAGTGACAGGCCTGTTCCCATGGCCCCTGGAAGCAGCCCCGGGAGGGACAATCATTGCACTCACAGCCACATTTAATGTCAGTGGTGGGGCAGAACTGAAGGACACTTGGAAACTGATCTCAGTGTGGGTTTGTTCATGCAGCTGCTGTAACCTATGTTGTGTTCTTTTTCTTTTCTGTTTTTTCTATTTCAAGGTGGCCTCTTCTTTGTATCCTTAGTTATAGGGGATCTGTTCAGCTAGTCTCCAGGTGATTCTTGAGGTGATTGTTCTATAATTTAATTGTAATTTTGGTGTGGTCCTGGGAGGCTGCAGGCACAGCATTCACCTCATCCACCATCTTGGATCTTCTCTGTGACCTGGTGCTTTTGGGTGGGAGAATCACCAAAGCTAAGGTGATGTTGTCAGTGGTACTCAATGGCCTTATGCATGGAGTGCTCAGGGGGCACTGGGGAAGACTGAGGAAGGTGGGACTGAGCTCCAGCGAGGGCCATGTGAGCTGGGCTGTCTCCCCTCCCCCCAGAGCTGCAGAATGTCAAGGAGAGAAGTTAACACGGTCCATATAGATGGCCAGTAGCTTCTCACAGAGAACAGATGAAGACTGCCTTAGGTCCAAGCATGCATGGTATGCCTGCCAGAGTCATCTAGAGATTGTGGGCAACCCAGGCAGCGTGTGGCTGTGTGAAAACCTGTTTTCCTTTGGTCAAATTCATGTGTGGCTGGTGCTTCTTCTATTTGCCAAAGGGAATACTGGCGTGTAGAATTATTTTTATGTTTTCTGTCGAGCGGTACATGATCACTCGTCTGGAATCATGGCATATTTGATCCAACTTGGACTGGCTGACACAGGACGTCAGATAGGAGCGTCTTTATACACTTATAAAATGGCCTTCACAAGGCAGAGAAGAGTTTGGAAAAATGTTTTTGTTCTGCCTCTAGACGCGTGAGTCATGTCTCCACATGGGATTACCCAGGCAGGCCAGACAGGCCACAGCGACTCACGGGCACACCCATCCCCTTGGCTCCTCTGTAAATGGAAACTGGAAAGGTGGCATGAGCCTAGGCCTAAGATCTCTTTGTCCCCACCACATGGGACCCATGCCATGTCGGGTACTATCAAGAGGCTGCTTGCACCTTATTGAACCACTGAAACCATTGACATCTGAATGCTGCTCTCACATTCTAACTCTTCTGTGAACCCCACAAATATTGTGAGAGATGCCCAGGGAGGTGGCAACTGCTGTCTTTTAATGTGGAGGTAGCTGACATCTGATCCTGGCTGATGAACTCCTGCCTCTTGCCAGTGATTGATGACATGAGAGTGGGCAGGCCAAAGCCATTTGGACTCAAGGTCAAGGAGACATGATGGGGTGTCCTCCAGGGGTGAGACTCGTGCTGATCACCTGCCTGGTGCTGAGAACAAACCTTAGGGCAGAGAGGTCCTGCTGGACACTGTTCCCTACTGTGTGGTGATGAGATGCCTGGAGATGCTTCCAACTCCAAATGTTGTTGATGGTGGCAGAGCTTGCAGTAAGGACAACGGTCCTAGGTGACACTGCTGGGCCCACAGCAAACACCACTGGACCTGCTCACCTCTGACCACCTCTCATAGGAGATAAACTTGCCCCTTGGCCGATACCATCTCATTTTGCATCTTCCTCTCCTTACAACTAAAACTGTGTTAATCAGTGTCACATGCACGGTCAGTGGTTTGCTCACAGGTGTGCTGTTCAGCCAGTTGGAGACTGATGGAGGCCTGAGTCCAAGCCCAAAACCTGCCCTCTGTGCCAACTGACACTTCCTGTGTGTCCTGCAGGACCCACTGGCTGGCTCACTATGCAACCTGCATGAGTGACTCACCCCATCGGCTCTGCTGGTCTCACTTTGCTGACCAGTAAGACATGATGGAAACCTCTTTGGGGGCCTTTTGATGTAACTTTTGTCCTCCATGCTTCCTGTCTTAGATGTGGCCATGAAGCCATCAGTGACAGGAGGGACAAGTCAGGAGAGCCGGGAATATCTGCCTCAGACTTTACGAGATGTGGAACCAATGCTCACCAGCCCTCGGCCTGAGTGTCTTGTCACATGTGGCAGCAGTTGCTGGGCAGGGTGGAGTGGCACGAAAGTGAAATCCTGTTGGCAGGTCTTCTTGTCCAGAGCAAGAGCTGGGCTGCTGGCAGGGTGATGGGATGGGCACACAGTGTGACAGCGCCCACAGGAGCTGTGTGGGGCCAGCATTGCCATGGAATTTGTGTGTTGCTCAGGATGCCCTCATCCTTCTAGCGCCTCCCCACACCCCCCAAGAACCCTTCTGCTGAGGACACGCCTCTGCTTCCAGCTGGAGAACTCTGCCTGCTTTTAAGGAGCCCAGCCAGATGATCAGGGTGGTCCTCATCTCAGGGTGTATGTGACGTGCCATTGAGTCAGCTCAGCTCCTGATGACCCCATGGATGAGTGACAGCCACAGTGTCCTGTCCTCACAGCTGCTCAGCTCCTGTAGACTCAGCCTGTGACCTCTTTTATGGGATCTGTCTTCTCAGGTTTGGTCTCCCTCTTTTCCAGGGGCCTATTTTCCCAGCATTTCTGTCTTTTCCAAAGAACTCCACATTCTCACAGCAGGCCCGAAGTGGGACAGCTTCAGTGGTGTCATTCTTGCCTCCAGTGATGTTCTCAGGGTCCATTACCTGAGTTACATCTGCAAAGTCCCCTCTGCCACATGGGACATAATGACAGAACCAGTTTGTGAGGACCAAGGTGGAGCTCTTTGCATTGAGGGGCATCATTCTACCGTCTGGAACAAGCCAGCATCACCTACACCCTTGACTGTCCCCCAGCCAGGCTCCCTGCTTCCCCATAACCGCCCTGAGGTCTGTCCTGCGTATGGCACCCTGGGTGTTAGCCCATCAACACTGCCCCCACGAGAGGGCAGCTGTCCCTCGGCCCTTGGTGATGGGTCTGAACCCCCTGAAATCCCACCTCCCCTCATCCTTCCCAATACTCTGGGTGGGCCATACACCCTGAAAGGCACTGAGAAATGGGACTGTCACAAAAAGGGACATCAGAAAGAAGTGACCATAAGCAGAGGAGAGACCTCGGGGAGGCAGGGCCTGCACATGGCTTGGTCTTGGTGGGTTGTGGGATTATGGGGAGACCCTGGAGGTCTTTATTGAGCGCTTCAGATCCAAAGGCTTGCATTGTTGATGCGTTGAATACATTCTGTCCCTAGAGCAAGTACGGCAGTGGACGAGGCGGCAGGTGTCTCAAGGGGATTCACTAAAAAGTCCCATCTGAGTTTCATATGGAGGAAGTGCAGAGTGAGAGGAGGCTGGGGCATGGCTGTGTTTCAGGGACAGAGTGAGGGCTGAGTGGAGGGGCACGCGTTCAGCTGAGAGCCATTTGCACTGTCACCTCATCTGCGAGGGCTTCTCCAGAGGACAGGTGGGCACCTGGGCCTCCCCTAGTCTACAAACATGGGGACAGGTGGGCACCTGGGCCTCCCCTAGTGGATGAACCTGGCAGGCACCATTGCTCGGGGGGGGGGGTTCTTTCCCTGCACCCTCCTCCTTGCTGTGCTCTGGTGGGTTCTGGATTCTGGGAAAGGCGGTGCTCGGGGCTTGTGCTGCCAGCACCTGACGCGACCCGCACATCAAACGAGCACTCCTGACTTGTCAGCCAGGAGTCTACTGAGAGGGTACCTGAGAGGATTGGGTGGGAGACTGGAAAAGAAAGAGACTAGAGACGAAAGCTGGGGACAGGAGGTCCACCCAATGCTGATAGCAGAGAGTGGCCCCGTTTATTATTTATACACAGCTTTTATAGCAAAAGTAACTTTCCTTAGGTAGGGGGGTTTTGGGAACTTGAGGGAATAGTCCCCTCCTCCCAGAGAACAGCTCCCCCGGGGCTTTCCATAAGGTGTAGAGAAGCAATCTTCCCAGGGTTAAAGCAAAACATAATAAGCAGAAAATGTTAATAGGATTGCATTCCACTCTGTAGCTTTCAAGGCCGTTGGCTGTTTCTCCTCAGCGGCCAACCTTCCCACGCTGCTCACCCGGGCCTGAGAGCCTGTCAGCCTGCCAGCTTTCAGGCTTAACCCTTACTACAAACCTCCGGCTCCCTACAAGCACCCCTTCTTCTGTCTGCTCTGCTATTACTTGCGTTGTCTGGTCCCACTCTTGGTGACCTGCTGTAGGCAGCTCAGTTTCGTGTGTTATAGGTGCCAGGCCTCAGTGGTTTGTGCCCAGCTGTCAGAACTGGGCGAAACTGGCTGGGCTGGGTTGTGTCCTTCCCTGGACACTGCCTCCTGTGGCAGGGCCACCTTTACCCAGCAGTGTCACCCTTCCCTGAGCCAGTCACTGTGTCTGGGGCCAGCCTTGGGCTACACCCACATGAGTGTGCACAGGTGTAGGTGTGTGTGTGTGTGTGTGTGTGTGCGCGTGTGTGTGTGTGTGTGTGCGCGCGCGCGCGCGTGTGTGTATGTGTGTGTCTCCACCCATGACATGCGCTCTCCAAAAGGCTTGCCCCACAGGCATTTGATCATCCCAGGTGTTTGCACAAAAGCTTTCCTGGCAGCTCTGAGCCTGCGCCCTGGGACTCTATCCCACCCGCCTGTGTCTGTGGCCTCCTCGTTGTCCTCTAGAGGACCTGTGCCACGGCTCCAGGGCTATGCCTGGTCCCCTGAGTGCCTCCTCTTTCCCTCACCTGGCACAGCCACAGCCCATTCCATAAACAAGCTGCAGCGTTTACATGCCATGAGTGGGCTTTCTGGTTGCTAGTTTTCTCTTTTTCTCAGCTATTTTCGAAGTAATCACTTTGATTGTGCCTGTAAACTAGTCATCAAAGCAAAAGCTTATTTACAGAAAAGAGGAGAAGCCTGCGCTGCCATAAGCTAGGACCTGACCTGTTTGTGGGTTCTGATTACAGGCAACGGGACACTAATCGGGGCGTCAGCCAACGTCGTCTGTGCAGGGGTTGCGGAGCAGCATGGCTACGGCTTCTCGTTCATGGACTTCTTCAGGTACTTAAAAAATACATGAGTTTTCCAAGTTTTAAAAATTATTTTCAGGTGTACAAAACATTGTGATTAGACATTTAAATACCTCACAAAGTAACGCCCATTAATCTAGTACCCACCTGGCACTACACATAGTAATTAAAACATTACTACTTCGTGTGCTGTACTTTACATCCCCGTGACTATTTTGTAACTGCCAATTTGTACCTTGTAATCCCTGCCCCTTTACAGCCAGATCCCCAGTCAGCCAGTCTCTCTCTGTGGGGGGGGGGACGTGGGGGGCGTGGGGAATTGCTGCCCCTCCGCCCTGTGTCTGTGCCAGGCACTGACGCGTCCGCTTCTGCCCTGCTGCAGGCTTGGCTTCCCAATGATGATCGTCTCCTGCACAATCGGCATGTGTTACCTCCTTGTCGTTCATGTCGTCATGGGATGGAATTAATGATCACATCATTTGGTCCCTTACCAAAGCACTACAAAAGTCCCCTGGACCACTCTTGGGAGAAGAAAATCGGTTAGGATTGGGGTCCCCTGGGGAGTAGGCCAACGGCACCCACATTCTTAGTCACCTCAGTGCTGGCAAATCATGGCAAACATGAGACAATTTACCTGGTATCCCCCCACAGCACATGTTTACATCAAAACACTTCCTGCTTTGCTCTGGAAGACACAAATGCAGTACCCTCCCCGCCCTCCCTCCCATGGCTGTGGTATTCAGTTGTCACACCTCCTGAGACTGTCTACAGTTTTACATGTACCCACTTCCATGTTGAAATTATACACCCTCTTTCCTGGGAAAGGCTCACAGTGTGAAAGGCAATATCTTGCGTTAAGAATACACTGTTGCTTGCCTCACGGTCTTAGAATTTGTCAGTCTCTTAGTTTTTCATTATTTTACATTATATAAAATGGCATTTTATTCATGTTTTCCCCTGTAGTTTTGACATCATCAGTTAAAAGTCTTCAAATTCCACTTGCAGAAGGTCATAATGCTTTTTAAATAAATAGTTAACAGCCGTGAATCATGTGGTGATGTGTGCTCATACATCAATTACATGACAGTGTGGTTGGCACTGAGGTCTGAGCCCCACAGGACACTGGGAAACACTGGAATGCTGGCCTTTCAGGAACACAGCTGGTGAGGCAGGACCATGACATCAAGGGGAGGAGGGGCCCTGCTTCGTCGGAGCCAGGACCCGGCCCGGCTGTGGCTCTTCTCAGTGCTCAGCCTACGTGCACGGTACCTTGAGATGAAGACACTTGCTGGAACTCTGCTCAGACATGGTCATTGTGTGAAGTACCTGATTTCAAATAGTTTAGGATCCTCAGGTCACCAGGAACTGGAAGCAGGAGACCTGTCTAGTCCCCATTCTGTCCTTGGCACCTCCAGGGTACCACGCCTTTTCTGCAGTTTAGAATCTGTGTTTGAGCAGCAGTCGTGTCTGAAATCTCCATCAGGTTGTCATCTTTCTTTAGCGTGAGTGGGAGATGTCCTGACATCACAGGATAGGCTTCTCATCATTCCTGCATGCTTCAGCCAACACAGGACCTCACATCCCAGGTGAGCACAGTGACTGAGAACTTGGCCCGTGCAAGCTATCTGTTCCATCCTCCCTGGCGTGACATCCAGGACTTCGATCCCGTCTGTGGTCCCCAAACAGAGCAGTGGAGTCCTGGGACTTTTTTAATAGACAGGATAGTTTCTACTTCTCAGTCCAGGACCACTGACATCTTGTTAGGGCCCTGGAGGAAATGAGGGGTCCTGGGGGTGGGTCTTGAGGCAAATCCCTGTCAGCTTTGGGGCCAACCGGTCCAGGCGTAGCCCCAAGTGGCCAGCATGCAGGGGAGGCCAGGAGGGGCTTGAGGTCCCAGGTTCTCAGTCAACTTTGATGACATGTTCACACCCCACCCTCGGGGTCCCACTCTCTCCCTACCAGCATCCTTACCAGTCTTCAGGGTCACATCTGCTGGCCTGACTTCTTCGAAGTTCTCTGACCAACTGCTCTTGTTCTCATCTGGACATGTGTCCAGAGCTTTCAATGCCCATCCTGTCCTGGTTTGTGGTCTCTGAGGCTGTCAACAGAAGCCAGGGGTCCCCACATACCTTGGTGATTGTGATGCTGCCATGATCCTATCCTCCCCTGGAAGGATGTGAGGGAATCAATTTCAAGTCTTATTTTGGGGGCTTATTTCCTGGAGCCACTCAGCTCATGTATCAGGCAGGGAACAGCAGACCCAGTCCAACTACAAAATATGAGATGCGTTTGATAAAAGTGGCTATTTGCAAAATATGGACACAGTATTAAGAAACTACAAAAGGGTACCTGGGTCAGTGACAATGACATAGCATTATCACCCCTAAAACTATGTGCAGGGGGCCTCAGCCAGCCCACCAATCCCTGCTGGGGGCTCAGGAAAACAAAGACCAATCAAGTCACCGCTTCTGCCAGCTCCAATGGTCCCCAAGGCCGAGTCCAGCCACAGTGACAGGGCATGGAAGCCACTCATTCCACCCGTGTCCGTCCGATTGTGGGCGCTGAGCGGGATGCAGATGGGATGGTGGGGGGCAGAGGGGCTCCGCTGCTGGCCTAGGAGCCCACCGCCCTCCTTGCTGGGATGACTTCATGTTTCCTCTGCCCAGTTTTACTTCACTGAGACACAGAAGCCTCAAACGAGAGTGCTGTCGGCAGTAACTTCACACATTCAGCCCCAGTTGGACCCAACATCTCACCTCCTCCTGCGAACTACAGGCCAGTCTCTTCATGGGTGTGGTGTAGTCTCACTTTCTCACATGCTCCACTCTTTCCAGGAAGAAAGGGCTTTCCTTTGCATCACTCCGCACGCCACCCCACCCATAGGCGTTCATTCACTCATCTGTCCATTCACTCCTTCATTAATTCATTTCATGTAAACGTAATGCTTTTATGTTCCAGGCAGTTTTTCCAGCTGCTGGAGATGGACAGTAAAAAATAAATATCTCTAATGTTGACGAAAAACATCCAGCCTAAGAGAAAACTTATGAGTTTATTTGAGCCAAACTGTCGACAATTGCTAGGAAGCAAAATCTCAACAGATTGAGAAAATGCTCCAAAGAATGGCAGCTTTACAACTCATTTTATACATAAAATCAAAGGAGGAAGGTTACATGAAATCCATTGGGGATAGATTAAGGGGGTGGGAGAAAGGAAAGCGGGGAAATCTCTGGGATTGGATAAAAGTAAATTGGAGAGACAGGTAATTCTTTTACATAGATGGGTGCAGGATAGCTAACAGTTAGCTTTTTTACAGCACATAGAGATGGTAATCAGGAGACAAGCATAAAAATGAGGAAATTTGCAGTTTCCATCTCTGATCTCGAAATAGGATTAAAGATGTTATTTTATGTACAAAAAGACAACAAGCAGGCCCACTGAAAAGGGCACAGATTAACTTAATGAGGAAGCTGAAGAGGTGACTTCCTGCCATGGCCCACATAGTTAAAAAAATGTGTGTGTGTGTTCACGCCATCTTATTTTCAGTCTCCTGAGTTTGTCAGGTTTAACCCGTGGCTCCTTTCCCATCCACATTAACTTCTTGGAATTTCTGTTCAATCCCATGTTTAAAAAAATCATCATTTTCTTCCAACTACCACTCCATTTCTAAAGTTTTTGAAACAATTGTCTTATGTACTATTAACACTTTCTCTTCTCCAATTTACTGTTTTATTACTGTAATTATCAGGCATACAAAGAAAATACAATGAATCTGTGTAAACATGCCCAGCTCACTTGAAAAAGACACTAAATATGACCCAAGATTGCTGTTTCTTTCCCAGTAACAGCCCCTCCCCCTCCAGAGGCAACTACAAACAGATTTGATGTTTTTGCTCTTCTTAGATATTCGAAATTCTCCCAGCAGGAGTCCTGGGCCCCGTGTCACTGTCAAGGTGAGTTGTGCTGGGGACCCTTCCTCACTGAGAGGATGAGGGGCACTCACTGATCCATCCTTCATGCCAGGCAATGTCATAAGCACCCACCTGGTGGTGTTTATGCTGAAGTGGGAGCCAGTAAATTAAACATGCCAAGCAGAGGGGAGTCCTGGGAGGAAAGGCGGTCAGTAGGTTCAGGTTGTTGGGGAGGTAATGTCTGAGCAGAAACGTCAAGTGTGGGAGCAGCAGTGGAGAAATATGGAGAAGGAGGGCAGGCAGTGGGGTGTTCTTGTCACAGCAGCGTGGGCTAAGGGACGAGGACCCGAGGGCTATAGACTAAGGGGGGACTTTGGAAGGAGAAGCCGGATGAGCGGGGAATGTGAAGGGAGTGGTCCCGGCCAGCTGCTTGAGAAAGTGTGTCCACTGCCGTGACAGACAAAGGTGGGCAAGTGACGAGACCAGCTTCTTGTGATGGTGAGAACACCCACCGGACCAGCGTGTGCTGTAGTCGGGGCTGCTCTGCAAAAGGGGACGTCAGTGTCATCTGAACAGAATGCTTTTCTCGGTCCTTAGCTAGTTCCAAGGGACAAACAGTTTGCATCTGAGCCCCTCAGAGAAACCATTTGAACTTCGCTAAGGAGTTGTGAGGTGAACAGGGTGTGGGAGGGTCTGTTTGGCCTTGGCAGCAGCAGTTGTGACATGGACACACCAGGTCATCCTGTTTTAATCCAGCCACATTCAAGTAAACACTCTTGAGACAGGCTGAATAAGAAACAAATCTTGGCCTGCGTTGTCGAGCGGGGAGCTCCAGCTACCAAACTCAGCAGAGCACGGGCCTCACCCACGGGGGGGTCTGTGTCTCCAGGGAGAACTGGACAAGCCGCAAGGTGCCTGCTGGAGCAATGCTTTACTCAGAGGAGCCAACATCCAGGAAGTCTCCTGGCCCGTGGGTTCCTCCCGGTGGCCCATGCAGAGGATGGGTCACATGCGCCCCTCTCCTGCTGCAGGCAAAGACCTGTTCCTTCCCACGGGGAGGGGAGGGAAGGAGGGGGGGCTGGCCAGGTGTGAGTGACACACACGCTTAAGCAGAACAAGGATGTTCACGGCAAACTTCACTCAGAATAGGGTGAGGAAGGACAGTCTGACAGCCTGGCACCTGGCCTCCACACGAGGGACATTCTGGGTCCAGGGCACTGAGGGGGCCGCTCCCTCCACAGGCACCCTAAGAGCAAAGTCAAGAAGAGCCAGAGCTCGTGAGAAGCAAATCCTGTCCTCGTCACCAGAACTGGCCTGGCCCTGGGCACTCCACGCGGCCCCTTCCTCTGCACCCACCTTCAGCCTGCCTGGGTTTACATCCTGCTCCCGCCACCTCCCATTTTCCATGCAAATTTTCCACAGTCCTGCCTCTGGCCCCTTTAAATTCTGCAGCTCTTCTTCACACTTTGTTGTAAGGAGTTATCGACTTATTAAAAGGTCCCCTCCGAGGTGGTCGATCTCAGTGACACAGTCTCAGGTGTAGAGGGTATGGAAGGAGAAGGCTGGCACATCTGGACCTTAACCAGTGTCCTCATCTTTTTGCCCTGTCATGCTGGTCTTTCGAAGAGACGGACGGTAAAAAGGGCCCAGACATTGCCCTGAACAGGCTCAGCCAGGGGCAGGGGATTGACGTTCACTGACCTCAATCTTTCTTATGATCTTTTACGAAGGCTGCCATGGTAGGAAATCAATGGACACTTCTGGGGAGCATTTATGAAAAGGGGAGCAGCTGGTGAGAGATAGAAGCAGAGGTCTTGCCGGTGTGAGGCAGGAAGGCTGGAGGGAGCTGAGGGCCAAAGGCACTCAGCCGCCACCCCTGTGACGGTCCGTGATGCCACCTGCATGTGGTCTGTGTCTGGAGAACAAGGGTTTTGACTGGAATCCCCCTGCCGTATGGTGAGGAGTATCCTGTCCTATGGACAGAGGGCTTTCAGCTACTGAGCTCACCAATTTGTGGTCCCTTGGCTGCCTGAGACATGTGTCCCCAGTCTCGGGCCTATGGCTGCTGGTCTGGAATAGGCTTTCCGGGAGGATAGGGGTGGCAGCAGCTG